TGTGCAGTAACGATTTGAGACTTTTCGCTAGTCAGAGTTTAGACTGACGATAACAAGAAAATAAAATTAATTGTCAGAGACCAGAAAACGATTAAAATTTGAATTGTCGTCCAGCACAGAGCTTTAGTCAAAATATTAGTGCTCAAGAAAATTTTAAAGAAGTGGAAAGTTTGATTGACAACATCGAGATAAATTTCGCGTGTGCTTGTAAAGGTCAGAAAACTGTAGAAAGTTGTATCATCATCCAGTACAAAACCCCAGTTAAAATTTAAGTGATTCAACTAGTCTTTAAGAGACCGAAATTTTACAATAACTTCGATTTGGCGGTAAAACGACGATAAATTCCGTTGAAAGAGCGTTTGTCATCAGGAGCATGTTGTCACACAAAAAATTTAAGCCTTTTGCATTTTAGCTCATCGGAAAGGGGTCGAAAACTTGAATACAAGATTCCTTCGTGACGGACCTCGATGGCAAATATGGAGTAATTAAAACGTAGCGATTAACAATTTTTTCTTCCTAGTTTTTACTTTAACTGCGGCTTCAAAGATATGACTTGGTATTCGGAAACTATTTTTGAAAAGCTCAGAGCCAACACAATTTTTTTACAATTTCGAAGCACTTAGAAGAAATTATTTTGGTTACAGCCTTTTACTCTACAAGGAATTTTAAACAGAAAGCAAGTTCTTTTTCTTTTATTAATGCAATATAAATATAATTGTATAATTAATACATATAAATAATCTAAGTGAAATTATCACAAACAACTAAAATTAAGAAGCTCAATACCTTTGCTTCAGAAATTAATATATTGGTATTACTAAGGACTCAGAGCTGGAGCTAGATCCTAGAGCCCTCCGCAGCTGTTTCCCCTGGAGCTCTGGCTATTTCATTGTATTTTACAGACATTACCGACCCCCACAGCGTTGTGAAGGCATTGCCTGTTAACCAAGTTGCGGTAGAAAAACTATTCTCGGCATTAAAAATACATTTATCATAATTTAAGATCAAATATTAAGGAAGATTTATTAGATTCAATTCTTTTCTTAAGAATGAACTAATAACTGTGAATTAAATTAAATTTATATTTTCTGTGTAAGCTTATGATGTTCTCTTGTTTTGTTTTTTCGTTTTAGCATAAAATTTTTTAATTGAAATGTGTCTGTTTCGGATCCTTGTGAATAGCTGTAGTGCGGTTTTGGGAACGATTTTCGTTTGGGAGGAAGTTTGCTCAGGTTTGACAATATTTGCTGAAAAATATTAATTTTGGAGCAGTTAAATGTTGAGTAAAGATGAACTGGAGATAAAATGGAACCGTTTTGGGATAACTTTGTGAGGAAATGCTTGTGGAGATCGAAGCAGAGTAACAGAAGAAACAATAACATCACTGATGTAATTGAGACTAAAACTGAAGATTTAAGTCTTTACATCAGTACATGGAAAAACTATTTAACTAAAAGATCTATATAAACTTAGCTTTTAAATATTTTTTATAAAAATGCAAGGCGTTTCATAAAAATAATATTAAGTATTCGAACTGGAAAATATTTTTAAAAAAATACGAAATTACGAAATAAATTACATTAAAAAGAATACGATTCTACCTATAATTATTATTATATTATCACTCTAGTAACGTTTGTGATAAAGAAATGTTTCAGTGGGTGTAAGCGATAATTTAAAGCTTCAAACCCGTAACTCATTCAAAATTTTTAATTAGTCCGTTTGAAAGGAGCGCGCGATTAACGAATTTTTCACTTAGGATCGGCATCACAGACGATACATGCACATATCTCACAGACGATTTTTTTTTTTTCAATCATATAATGGATGACATCAGCGATGTTTGTCAGCTGCATTTAATCAAAAAACGGACTTCACTGGAAGTTCATTAGTCGTTCTTTAAGAATTATTTATATTTGATTAGTTATGTTTAGGTAAGCGCAAGTAAATTCAACATGGATGGCATGTGAGGTCAACGTCACCCAATTGTAAGGTATATGAAATAAGGAGTTAGATTTGAAATTAAATTTTATTAATTAAATTTGAAATGAAATAATTTGATTTTGGGAATCTTGTCTATTATGGGCTGCCTGCAGTCAATAGCATCAATCGATACCGAACGAAACTGAATAGTGAGTTTATCTACCTTTTGATAAGTTAAACTTTTAAAACGTGTTTTTTTTTTAATTAGTAATGTAAAATCACCAAAATGGAGAAATAAATAATTTAAAAAAATTAAAACAATTTCAATTTTTTAAATTTAAATTGTAATAATTTTTTTTAACTATTGTTGTTATTTTTTTAATAATCTTTCAGTTTCGCTTAGTATAAATTAATATTGATTCATTAATTATTATAAGATTTTTTTTACAACTCTCGATGAATGTGTATTCATCTAGTAAAGCAGTGTTTCCCAAACTTATGACTTTTGTGTTACCCTTTCTAAATATTTCGTAACGCTGTGTACCACCAATAAAAAAATGAAGGTATTTCTTACTATACAAAAAATTGCACAAAAGTTAAAAATCACAACTGGCTGCTGACACCACTAATTATTAACCGTTAACTCTGCAAAAAAATGACCAATAGAAAAATACGTAATCGTAAATTTTCATGGCTAGCTTTGTTTTTAAATAAAAATTTTTGAAATTTTCGCTTGTTGCAAGATATTTCGCATAAGAAAGCGTACCCCCGCTAAACTGTTCCAGTACCCCTGGGGGTACGCGTACCACACTTTGGGAAACACTGTAGTAAAGTAATGAATGACGCATTATTAAAATCATTTTTCCAAAAGGTGAATTAATTTCGGGTTTTGTTCTTGGATAAAACAAAACATTAATACATTTTTACGCTTTTATTCGTATATTAAATTATTCCTAAGTAGTATTGGGGAACTTGAAAAAGAATATGAAAGGTAATTTTACCACTTATCTTTTTAAAAAATATAAATACAGAGCCTTTTTATATAAAAAAAAAAGTAGTTATATACCTATATAAAAAAAGTAGTATATACCTATATTAAGGAGAAGTAATGTAGTTCCAACAATTAGTTTGGAAAGTATGAAATGTCACCTAAGTTTCAAATTAATACCTTTTTTATGAAAAAGGGGGAGAAACGATAAGTGTATTGATTTTCTTATTTACTTTATATTTATACTACAAGCAGCTTTCAGCGACCAATTGGTCCACATTTGGAAACTGACCGCTTTGAGGTTTCAAATTGAAGGACTTAAAGCTTTTGACAGCAGCATTACTATGAAAGATTAGTTCTGGCTCGCAAATTCGCCTCATTTTGCGACCCACCACTGATTATATATTCAATAAAAATTAATTCTGAAATATTTAGATACTTCAGCAGTCATATTTCTCGCGTTTACAAACTCACCGCTCCAAATTAACCCTGCTTGGTCCACCCACGTGATTTAAATATTTTTTCTTTTCGCTCTTTTGCATGTATTTCAATGATGTATTTATTTCCATTCAATTTCCAACATGAAAAATTGCTTGGAAAAAAAAATACGAAAATAAAATAAATCATATAATGTTCATTTTGAGACATAATTTTATGGTGATCATACATCATCATGTACATTCGTAGATGTTAACACTTAAAACGGGCCAGGATAGTCTGGTTGGTAGCAGGGCTAAAGAGAATAGAAGGGCTGGTTCACTCCTTTGACGTATCTCTTGCCGCGCCGATTCTCCGACGTCACTCTAGTGACGTCACTTTGGCGCAAAGCTCGCACTTTTACTTCAAGAACGGAGCGTTTGGCCTTACTAGTTCAAACTAATATTGGATCATTTCTTTTTGCGAGATATTCTAAGACATTTGTTATGTTCTGTAATGACTTTCCTCAGTTTTTGCAGTGAATTTACAAGAATTTAAAACTATTATCGAAATGCCAGTTTGCGNGGATGTGACGTATGTGGCAGAAGTTAAATTTTTTGCCATAGATAACAGCATTGGAAAACAAACGCACACCTCTGCCTTAAAATATGCTTTTCAGCATTGACAAGTGGCATAAGACAATAAATAAAACTGAAGATTCACTGAAGAAATTTATTGAAAAGTTCAGGTACCTCGAATTGTTCTCTGAAAGTTGGGACTGCTTAAAGCGATGATCTACCAAAAAGTTTTATAAATTTGATTAAAGACATTTACTATTTCAAATAATTATATTTGGCAGCTACCAATTTGATTGTTTGAATCGACAAGAGAATTGAGTTGAATGTTGTGTTTAGTGGCAGAAGATACGGAGAGTCGGCTATACTGAGCCAAACGAGAGCAACATTAAAAATGAAGCACTCTAGGTAAGCCGATGGAGGATAGGTCAAAAAAGTGAAGTTTTTAAGAAGAAGAAAAATTTCGAAATTCCAAACAAAACAAATAAATTTAACTAATAATATATTAGTAACAACTTCTGTTTCCTGAATAATAATAAAAATTAACTTTTAAATCAAAATAAACAAGCTCTATTTTTTTTTAATATACATACTTACAAATTTGCTGCGTAACATGTTGCCGTGTTGATAAATTGCTTTGTAATCCTGTAACTATATTTTTTTTAAAAAATTTATATTTACGTTATATTTATTTGTTTTTATTATGTACATTTGTTTTTATTATGAGTAAAAAAATAAATTTGTAAAGCATCCATTTGACTTATAAAATAATATATAAATGCACGGTATATTGTTTTACGATTATTGCTTTACGTTACTTATATTGTCCCCCAGCATGGAGTTCTTATTTTACTTCTGCTACCTGGAGTCTCGGTATGGTTGTGCAAATGTGAATCTCAATCAAAAAGTCAACAAAAGTTAAAGGTAGAAATATTAAAGAAAAAACTTTCTCTCGTAAGCTTATAAACTCAATATTTTAATCGAAATAGTGCTGATAAACGATATAAACTGGAAGTAAATTATATTTTCAAAGCACCTCACCCACTCGAAAATCTCAACGAGTGAGAAAGAAAACATCGATATCAACAAAAACTCACTTGGTTAAATGATATTAGCCCTCCACGCAAAAGACTGCCTCCTCAATGCGTCCTTTGTATTACTAAACGTTTATATTTTCCCCCGTTGTCTCCGTTAGCAACGATGTTTTTTACTGGTGTCCTATATTTGTAAAAATTGGATAAAAGCCATGATCACCTTCTCAAACCATCATAAAAGCAGCACTCTAGAATAGAAATTCAAAGCTCAGCTGATGTTGGAGTCAGTGGAGGTTGTGTCGAAATTAAAATAATTGTGTTCATGGAAAAGATATTATTTGTTAACTGTATCCGCTTTCACATGTTTATGCTAATGAATTGTGTAAAGGTATAGCGAATTGGGTAAATGCCATTATTGTTTAAATGAATGAAAATTATATAAGACAGTGTCCATTAAAAAAATTAAAATGCAGTAGAACTTAAATGTTTCATCAATGCTTCTTAGCTTAATAAATTTGGAATAAAATGTTCTTATAAAAGCATTATAACAATAAATATTTTTATAAACATCATGGGGCATCTAAAGTTTGAAACATATTCGTGAGAAAAAATTATAGACAGAGAGCTTATTTTAACGATAATACGCTTTAAATATCATTTTAATACACGGGTCTGTTTAGAAGAAATTTGGGTCCGTTAACGGACCCTTCACAAAATTTATCTTTTAATCGGACCCTTCACAAATTTGTTTATCTTCATTATGCTTTGTTAATCGAACCCTTCCCAGAGGGAGGGGGGAGAGAAAGACAGATATAAACCTCAAGTTTTGTGTTCGGCAGGCGCTTCTTCCTTTATTCCTCCGAAATGGATATTCTGCGTTCAGCAGTATAGGCTAAATACCAATAATTAGCATGTTGCATCTCTAATTTAGTAGCAGCAATTGCTGTTTATTTTTGAAAATTTAATTTTTTTATTATAATTTTATAGTGTTGAGCATAGTCTTGTATCTATTTACAATTTAAAAACTCCTGGGAAAAGTTTTTTTGCCATAACCGGACCCTATTAGTACAAATTCACAAAAGCAGGACCCTGGTTGAAAGAATGTGACTTAACGTTTGTTTTATATTCACAAATTACGAGTAATTTTTTTTACAATTTTACAAAAACAGGACCTTTCACAAAATGTCTGGACAGACCCTGTAATACCAATCTTATAATTCCAGCGAAGCGAGGATAATTTATTCAAGTAAGGATTGGGATTCAATCCGAAAGAAACCTATTTCTTTTAGAATGCTGGAAAATAGTAGAAAAAATCAGAAGAAACTGACCAAACTGGAAGGAACTAATAACGACCAATACAACTGTTAAACTATAATTAATATATGAATAGTTGAAACTAAAAATTTAATATAGAACAAAAAAGTAAACATTTTTAAGTTTAATTTTTATATAAATAACTATTTTCATATTTTATTTTATCTTTAAACAGAAATTTTGAAATCGGCATAACTTATTATAATGATTTATTTCGAATTATGTTATCCTTATTTTCCAAAATAATGTATGTACAATACAAATACAAATAAATATGTACAAAATAAATATCTAGACAAATTAGACATGCTTAGATAACTTTCAGTGGGCTCCACCACAGTGTAACTGCTCCACCGCCGTGGCTTCGCCGCAGGTGCCCCACTGGGTAACGAGAAGAGGGTAACAGTTCTGGCACTCCTGGCCGATGGGACAATACATCCCAAGTGCCCGCCATTTAAAACAAAAAAAATAAATAAATAAAAGATTACTTTCAGTTTGCTGAACATTCAGCTTTAAGATAGAATTATCTAAAAATAAATAAATGAAATAAACTAAGCAAAATATAACTTCAAAAATTATTACTTTGTTAAAATATTTAAAATTGGTTAAATTTTCATTAAAAACTTTTAAAGGTTATTGTATTTTTTAGTAATTTCAGAAATTAGTTTTATTTTTAATTAATTTTCTCTTTCTATGAAAACTGATTTATTTAATAGTAAAACAAGAACAAGATTTTTGCCCTTGCTTTATAAAATTAGCATAACCCATATTATAAAGCTATTTTAATTTGAAAGTAAATCTTGAAAATTACAAGTTTTATTTATTTATCTATTTTTTAAATAAATGCTCTATAGAGTAAAATGCACTTTAAAGCGTTCATAAATTTCAATTACATATCAAGAAATTTTTAAAATTTTTTACACTTAATCAAATTTTTTTTAAATTTTATAAAATTAATTATTGATTTGAATAGGAAAACTTAGCAATTCGAGAATAAAAATTCACGGTTGATAACTTTTAAATATATTTTATAAATCATAGTTAATTTATAATTTTATAATTAAGAATGCAAAAAAGAAATCTGCATTTTAAAAAAATTAACAATTGATAAGTAACTTTAGCACACTATGTAATAACTTTTTTCAGTATTCACACTTAACAGCATTTAATTATGTACGATATTGTTAAAAGTTTAACGATTAAGTTTTACTTCGAATTCAACACTATTAAATACTAGATTGCAATAATAAACTGTTTAAAATTTAACTTAATACTTGATATTACTTTATCAAGAAGAGTTTCTTCCAATTTCTTCCACTGTGAAAGAAACTTTGCCATCCCTGTCCTGACTTGTCACCCAGAAATTCTATAATTACTTATTTTTCTTTTTAATCATTGAACTGTAAACGTTTATTTAAGTTAAAGGGGAATAGACAGACCTGAAATTAGCATTAACACTAACTTAACTTCTTTCTCTTTAGACATTGTAAATTAAACTCATTAGCATTTAGAAACTATGAGTGAAACTTAGTAATAAAAGTACTCATCACAGTTGAATTATTGTGTGTCACTAATATGACGAAGTCAGTCAATCATTCAGGATATTTTGTCAGCTTTGTGGTTAACTTATATCAATTCCTAGAAGCAAATCGGAGATAGGATCTGCACTCTCTCTAATGTTCTTCAAAACATAAGGTTCAGTTGGCAATGGCATAAATTGAACATATTTCAAAGTAAACGAATTCTAGAGTTAGAAAACACATTTTAAATTATTAAATCAGAGATGGACTGATACTTCCCCTCCAATTGACATTTCCCACCCATTGGCATTTATATTTTACTAGAAATTGGCTTATCTATCCTGCAGGACCAAAGAAAGTTTGTGCTTGATCCAAACATTAAGACTAAGCTTTCATTGTGGAAATTCTTTTTTATATTCTAAATCAGTGGTTTCCAACTGCCGGTGCGCGAAGTCTTTTTTGGTGGCTTAAGAAATAAAATATATTAGTCGTCATTTTTTTGAGGACAATTTTCGTAAAAAAATACTTTTGTGGGTTTAAAATACTTTTCTTTCATTAAAAAAAAAACCAACCTAATTTCTTCGATTCTGTGAAATTTAACATAGGCAAATTTATTTCTCAGGTAAAAATCTACTTCGTATTTTGATTTGTAATTCAATACTATTGTTTTGTACAACTTGATAAAAGTCTGACAGTAATATTTAATGTTCCTTCAACCATAAAAGAGTCCTATTTAAAATTTTGATAAAATTGTGGCCCGCCATTTGACTGGTATTTTTAATTGAGGCCCCTAGCCTCATGAAGTTGAAAACTCCTGTTCTAGATAGTATTTTAATTATGATCAGTTTTTACCACTTTATATATTTGATAATATAGAAAGGTAAATGGCATAAAACAATTTTCCACTGTTAATGGCACATTCTTCTTGGTTAGAAAATCACAAGGTATGATACAGTTTCCTTACATGATTATCCAGATTCTTTTGGTTGTCATTAACATAAAATTAATAAAAGTTATGAAAGATATTGTACAACTATAAAATATTTCATTATCCCTAATTTAAATAAATTTACTTTTACCATTTACTTATAGTATTTAATGCCTTTATAATTTCTTTTTTTTTTAATTTTGATTATTATTCCAAATTATAGGCTTACAGCTAAAAGCAATTTCTTATTATTACAAAGTAATCCTGTGATTTTACTTTATTATGCAACATTTTATGACAAACATATTTAAATCAGTGTCAAAACTTATTGATATACTGTCAAGAAACAAGAAATTATTGTAGCAATCCTAGTGGTTGGTGAGCAAGCAGAGCTTCTAGTTTTGGGTATTTTCAACCAATTAAATATCTGTTTCATTCATTGTAAGGGTACCCACAGCATTTATATAATTATTTCAACTTGGAAGGTATCTATATGTACATTTCTTAATAAGAATGATTTTTAATTAGCAATAGTACAAAATAGTACAAAAATTGGGGATCATTTGATTGTTTTCAGGGTAGGCATGATTTAAATCAATTGATTTAAATAATTTAATTTTTTTAAGAAAATAATCATTGATTAAAAATCAAAAATATTTTTTATTTAAGGAAATTTATAAACATATTCTTAACATTTTGAATTTTTTTATAGTCTTATAGTGAAGGTTAAGGTTTATCTAACGAAACAATAAGAGGGTAATGTGTGTAAATTATTTCTTGATTCTCGACATAGACAAACAAAAAAACTCAGCGTCGATTAAAGTAATATAAAAAATTTAAATTATATCTTTCTATTAGCTGTAAATAAAATAATTTGTTACATATTTCAATTATAAGCATATAATTTAATGTTTATTTAAATACAAATACTTATAAAACTAAGTAAACATGCAGTTTGTGTAAATAAATAATGTAGAAAGACAAGTCCCGCCAAAAGTAATTTAAAATAATTGATTTTTATTAATGCTCAAAATTAATTTATTCGTCATTTGATACCTAACCAACAATGTGGATCTTTGTCTCCACAAATTCATTTAAGTATTATGCTTGAATAAAAGCAATTATGAATTTATTTTTATTTTTCAATTTATAAGTTTGCAATAAAAAATTTTAACCACTTTAGTAAGTGATATCAAGTACTTTAGACAATATTATATTTGAATATTACTAAGAATTATTAATATTTTTTATTAGAGCATTTATTGGCAATGAATTTGAACCCTTAGAATAACAGTTTATCTGTCTAATAGTCAAGCACCATAAACAAATCTTTGCAGACTTCTTTTCGGGTTAAATATTTTTTAGTCATTAGATTCATTGGAGATTGCACTAGGAAAAGCGCAGAATTATACATTGACAATGTTTTCTTATCAACAATGAAAAGTTTAACAACATGAAACCATTTATTTGTTCAAAACAACATAGATCTAGCGTAAAAATATTGATTTAATGATTGAAATCAACAAAGGGTCTTGAAACAAAACCAAAATATCCTTTCTTTATAAAAGAGTCTATTATCAAAACAATTACTTAAAAAATAAAGTTACTAAACATGAATTATTAGCTAAATTCAAAACTTGAAATTTATATATAAAATATTTTAGCATTTTTTTCTACAAATCCTGATTTGCTGATAAAAATTCTATGAAAATAATAATAAACTAAATTTACAATTGCCTATCTCAAATAAAAACTAGTTAAAACAGCTCTTAAAAACTACTTAAAAAGCTCTTTTAAAAAGCAGAGAATAAATAAAAAGGAACATGTAGTTACACCATGTGACACTATAGCAAAAGAGATAAAAGCTACTATTTTAACTATATTTATCAACGTTAAATTTTTTTTTGATGAATATAACAATCTATAAAAAAGTATAAAGGTTATTTTTTAAAAAAATTATAAGTTTTAGTTTATAACAGAGATATTTAGAAACAGTTCAGAACGCACAATTTTCATACACATTTTAATATTTTTTACATGAAAAATACTGATACCTTTTTTTTTGAAATCTTAAAATAATGCAATAATATTTTGAAACAATGCATTTAATAAAAATGTTATTTATAGCTTCTTGAATAGAATGAAAATAAAAATTTAAATTGAAAAATAGAATAAAAGTGTGGGGTAATTAAGATAATTGATTTTAAAATTCTATTCACAATGTTAACAAGAAATAATATTAAAAAAATTTTCAAATTATGTGAATTTTCATTTCTGTTTTCAAAAATTTAAACATACATAATGTATTAAAAAGGTGAAACTTCAAATTAATAATTAAGTTGATAAATTTAAATGACTAGGTTATGCAGATTATGACTAAGTAAACAATTCAAAGAGTTGTAATAATAGTTTTTTAAATATAAAGTATATAATCATCAATTTTCACTGTGTTGTCTACATAAACAACAATAAATAAAAGTCTTTTTTTTGAACAATAAGTAACAGAACGCTTAGGAAATTTTTGAAAAATGATGCTCAATATTTCAGAAACTAACAATATGTTTACTTTGGTTAAACCTTTAACCAACAATTATCATAGTTAAAAAATAATTATAAAAATATAAATTTTACTGAATGCAAATCTGTAGTAAATTATAGAGTTAAAACCTTGAAATATGAAATAAAGGGTTTTCAAAATTATCTGCAATTCAATCATGTAATTACTTTACTTTAATGTACGTACTTTTTTATTGAACATTTTCAGACTCAAATCGAAAGAATTACAGTCGATCAGAATTGAGGATGAAGCAGATATAAAATTTTAAAAAAAATCTTAATCTCTTTTTCTCTTCAAATAAAAAATGTAACATAAAACACAAATATAAAGTCAACAAAATTCAAAATCTAGACAGAATATCATAATAAAAAATAAAAAAAGGATCTATAGATGATAAAAACAGATAATTTGTTTGTTTACTTTGAGCACAATGTTATGACATCTGTCGTTTCTGGTTTGAATTAGTGGTATAATTTTTTATTAATTAATACTAGAAAGAAATGTTATTTATTTAAAAAGAAGAATCATATGCTTCCGGCGATTTATATAAAAATTCACGTGCAATCAGAATACTTTTTGAAAGGTTAACGACTTTTTCTTACCTGTACAAATTCAAATAATCCACAATTAAATAGTGTGGCATAACATCAACAAATATATCCAATAGTCATTGTATTTATAATCCTAAAAATAAGAATGAACAAGTGAACGTTATAATTAGATAGTCACCGGGAGACATTTGCGCGTAAAACGTAAACAACTTTTGGATAACTTTTAAAACTATTACTTCTGAGCCGCCATACTTCATTTGAATCGCTACAGCGCATGCGCTTAGATTCCTGACAGGTGTGTTTTGTGTTCAAAAGTTCGAATGGGGACTGCGTAAAACTTGCGTAAAATTCTACGATTAGGCCGGATTCATTATCTCTTTTAAGAAAGTCACTTCTTGTTTGTTGAAAACTCTTTCGCTTTGATAATTTCAATATTTGGTTTCGGTATGAAACGCTCTTGTTAAGTGTTCCCATTCTAAAATATTAATTTCAAACTCTTATATCTTTCTTAAATTTAAAGAAAATAAAAAATCTAAACAAGTTTTCGTTCAGAAACATCAATGAGTAGTTACAATATTAATAAATAAATAACTCGCCAAGCTTTAAGTATTTTATTATTATGTATGGACTAAGTTTTATTATTACAGTAATAAAATATAAAATTTTGTTGTCATTTGCTATTTTACGATCGGATTTTCACGAACTAAATGTTAATCTTGATATTTCAAGATTAATAATTTAATATTAATGTATATATATATTTCCTCAACTATGCTATTTAATGAGTGAAATTATTGACTAAGTTACGAAATCAGGCATATATAATCCGAAATCATTTATCCAAATTTAAATTCAGGTGAAAAAAAAAATTTTTAATAATTATTTATTGTTATTTAATTTATAAAGGGCCTAAAATTTTTGAATTAAAGGTATTCACATGTTTTACTTCATTTTCTTTGTGAATGGAAGAAAAATTAAACGAAATCAGTTGAATAATTTTTGGGAAATAAAAACTTAAAAATACAACTTTTTGAAATTTTCAACTATAACCTATTTACCCGATAAACTATTTACCCGATTTTCCACAAATTTTGTACTTCAGGAATCGAAAATGCATAGGTAAAAGTGGTGTAAGAAATTGTGTGCCTTACAAATGATTTCTTAACTTAATTAATTGTTAGTACTAATTGAATAACATATTTGATTTAACACTTTGAACTATTAATTTAACACTCTTAGAGCAAGCGTTATTCAGGATGATTTTTTTTACTTTGCTCTCAACTAAAAGTTAATTTTTGAATTTGCTCGTATAAAATCTGTTCGAAGAATCTGTGCTAATAACATAGAAGTTCCAACGAATTCACCAGTAAAGCAGAATATTTTCGAAGCAAAAAATTTTTAATTTCATTTTTATTTTCAAACTTTATGCGTGTTTCAAACTAACGTAAGTCGACGTTTCTTCCTGGTTAGGTAAACCATAGATCTTACTTTCTTTCAAAGGAATAATTTTCTTTAGTATGAAAAGTTGATTTAGAATGACAACACAAGATTTTTTGAGCATCAATATGCTCCAAATTCAAAGATAAACAATGTTTTTTTTTTTTTTTTGCATAATGGAAGTCGAGAGGTTAAACATTGTTTTAGGCTCTAATTAGAAGAAGAAAAATATGTAACAAAAATAATTAATTAATAAATAAATTGTTACAAGGACGAAAGAAACGAATGGCAAAGAGGCACATTTCAGATTTCTAGTCAAAAAATTTTTTAAAAAAAATCACTTTTTTTTTCATTGCATATTTTGATACCTTATACTATGGGGTATATGTGGACTACTATACCATTTTGCCCGTAAGCTATTTGATATAAAAAATTAAAAAAACAACTTAATTTAAGACATATGAAAACTGTTTTCTGTTTGAACTTTCATAGTGATTTAAGTCCTCAACCAATTGGTTATTTAGGTTATTTTTCATTGCTGTTATCGTTCATTTCGTGGTGATTAATATATTAACGAAAGGTTTTTACCCAAAATTATAATACGTAATTATATACTTAACATAATGTTCGTACATAAAATTATATAAATTTCATATTTTATATTTAAAAAAATTTTAAGTTTAAAAAATTCTGGGGAGAATCAATTTTTTAAAATAAGACAAAAAAATGAGTGAATGAAAAATGACGAGTCAGATCTAATGACGATGGTTGGCTAACGAACTAAACAGAAATTATGTCTGCCATTTTACAAGACTAGAAGTCTTTTGAATGTTTATTTATTTACATTGTGAATATGTCTAGCAATGGAAATATTAATGCGTTGAATGATAATAGCGTTTGTGACAGGTATAAGCTCAAACCCAACCCTAATCCCATTTTATAGTGAAAATTAGCAATTTTTGAGCCGTATTTATCCCATTAGAATTATGAATTTTAAAAAAAATTGAAAAGATCTGCTTTTTATTACATATACATATATGCAAAATTTCAATAAGGCACTTTTTTACTCACAAGTTGTTTGTTTTTATTTGCATAATATTTAGATGATCCCTAATACTCATAGTCATATGAAAATCGTACCTCAAAATTTGCTGCCATTTGGTTTGCAAACTTCCTACATTCCGCAGTGCATTGTGTGAGTTCCATGTAAAAGGTTAATGAAACAAAGTAGCAGAAATATAATTCGGGTATGTTTGCAATTGCACCTCCCCCCTTTCGCACCTCGTTAATTATTTACTCATCAATCAGGAAGTCAGTTTTTTGAACCCACGCCATCCCTATATATACGACTAGGGAAGTATTACTACATCTGGTCATAAACAAAGATACAATGCGCAAAGAAGAAGAAAAAAATAGATATCACCTTGAATAATTTTTGTTGTAATGATTGAATATTCACGTGTCAATCTTATTGTTTACAGGGAGGACCTTAAATAAGCTAATTAATTAGTACTAACTATTAATCAATGTACAATTCAAAGAAAACGGGGAAGGAAATTAAAATTTAAAGAAATTGGCAATTAATTAAAGTGGGGAGAAAAATACAACGAAAAAAATATTATTTGGTCTTCAGCTTGCATGATTATATTCGCAAAATTAGTATTTTCTAATATTGTATTAATGTAACCAAAACAAAATATCAATATCATAATGAAAAAACAAGTAATATAAGAAAAAAATTCCTACCTAGGTAAACAAGGAAAATTTTTATTTTAGTTATTTTTTATTAAATAATTAAAAAAATTTCTCCCATATAAAACTAAAATTAATTAATTAAACTTAATTAATGAATTAATATTTGAATAAACTGTATTAACATCAAGTGTCATCCACTACAAGCAAGTTCAAAAAAAGATGTCTTTGAACTTGAGTGGGTGAATAAAAAGTATTTTGTTGACGATTGAAAATTTGAACAAAATATAAAATAAAAGACAAATAGGAACTTACAAAGCAAAGATGAGAAAACTAATGTCATGCACTTTCGAAAATTTTGCAAAAATTATTTAAAATTATTTTCGTAACTATGTTGTCAGATTACAAAATTTAAGCATAAGAGAAGGTACATAGTAGGACATATTCTTAAGGCGCGTTCATACTGATGTTAAGAACGGCATTTGATTTGTCTTTAATCTTGCATTGACCCGAAAACTGGATTTGAGTAAGGAAGTAACACATTATACTGGATAATCCATAGTTTATAATTAATAAAAGGTGGAATTTTAAGTACATTTTAATTCCATGATTTTAAAAAAAATAAATAACATTTGCAAAATATTTTTTTTTATTTAATTGAATATTAGAGGGTGTTATGGATGGTGTTTTCAATAGAAATGTAAACAATAACAATCTCGAGCTCGGGACCTACTCTAGTTCCGGTTAAAAAGTTTGCAGCTGCTTACTACATGTTATTCTGATAGGCGATGTTTTCAAACGGATAATTTTGTCTTCAATAAAAGAAATAAACTAGATAATTTCAGAGCTCAAATCTGCCGTATTTCATAAGATATTAATGCTATTATGTAATTCTGGGGAGTTTGGAGTGAAAATTTGTTTTAGTTATTTTGTTATTTATTATTAAAAAAGGTGACATGGTTGCTAGATTTTGAATAACTCGCTTTTTTGGCAGTCTTGATTTGGCCTCTTTCCATTTGTTTATTACTGTTTGTTCGTGTTGCAAGCTGTGCACCATCTTACGTTAGTGTTAACACTTTTAGTATCGTAAACAGTATTGTTAGCATTGTAAACATAAGTAATAAGTAATCAAATGCATTGTTTGCAAGAATCTCAAAACACAATGATGCCAAATGGCTTTAAAATACAACTGAAACAGTAACCCGGAAATTTAGGCAGTCCCGAGCTTGCAGCGCTCCCTAGTGTAGAAAACACCATCCATTGATTGGGTATGGAATTTTTAGCCACGCTCGAATTGGATTTGAAAACGACAAAACCATTTATCTAGATAACTAAAAGATTTTTAATTATATATATTATTTTAATAATTTTAATTCCTAATTTACTCAATGATTTTGTACAGAATTCAATTATTCCTTAGAATTTTATTCATTAACTGGAATTTTAACAAATTACAGCATTTAAAAAAAACAAGGAAAGCTGAAAAAAAATTCTTAATTTCCTAATACTCTACTAGATCATTTATGGACTACATAGGAATTTATTCCGTTTTTTGGATTTTAATTCTTCCATTCCTTTGAAAGTGGACATGGAAAGGAAACACTGGGAGACGCAATATATCTAGCCACAAATAATCAGATGGAAAGTTATGATAGAAGCCTTATGCTCCAATGCGGAGTGAAAAGGAATGTGTAAGTATGCATGTTGAAAGTAGACAGAAATTTTTTTAATCAAAATTAAAAAGTTTTAACATTTTTTTTATACATACATAAATCTTATATACTTTATACGGGCTAATTAAATTTAGTTACACATGTTAAATTTAGTCTAATTTTTACAATTATAGTGCTTTTCTGACTATGTTAGGGTGGTAAGGAAATTTAAATTTAAGAAGATTATGCTGCAGATTAACTCTGTAAATTTTGTTATCAGGTAACGGTAAGGTTGTGGCGTAACTACCACTATAAGTATTAAATACCAATTCACTAGTATATAGACATGTTAACTTAATTCCATCTTTAGGTACCTTTAGATAGATGAAGGTTGACATAGTCTAAAATAATTTCCCGTCAAGGTATATATATCCCTTCCCTCTTTTTGCCAGACTTAGCTAAAGCCATTTGTTTTTGTTACATTTGTCTGCGCGCTATCTTCCAAAAATGGCGTAATTCAACCGATTT